ATTTTTAAAATGACCTAGCAGCAAGAACGGGACACAAACGGCAAACGCCAGGCTACAACAGGCAGGCGATTTCTTTTTACGCACGACACTCCACCAAGAATGGGCTGGGCTGCAGAAGCAGCGTATCTCGGTCGTTCTTCAGACTTCACACAGCCATCGCAGAGAGAGCAGATTGTGAATGAGCTTGCCTGCGGCGAGGGCGGGCGAGTGCACGGAGCTAAATGCCTCGCCGCCCTCGCAGGAGTCGCTTAGGCGGCTCCCGTGGTGTACCTGTGTTAGTGCCAGTCCCTCGTTTTTTTCATAAAACTCTTGTTACGCCGACCTGAGCGCGGCTCGCACGAAGCTCAATCAAGCCGACAAAAGGAAAGGCCCCAGAGAACGGGGCATTGTACTACATAGTGCGGACCTGGGCAGCAACCAACAACCTGGATGGGGACGGGTTCCCCCTTTTTTTTGAGCCAGCCTCTTTGTGAATAAAAAATTTTTTTTTCACACGCAGGCGCTGGACTCGAAGTCCCCTCCCGCGAGCGCCGGCGGTGCCAGCAGCGGCGCGCCCTCCTCCTCGGGCCGCGGAAACACATGTCGCAGCCCAGCGCCACCCGGCCTGAGCGCGCCCTGCTCGCCGCGCTCAAGACGGACAACCCCGACATCGATGAGTACCCGGAGCGCTACCTCCGCTGGGTCGCCGCCCGGCTCGCGCGCGCGCTCGAGTCGGACGAGACGGGTCAGTTTGCGGACCGCGTGCGCGCCGTCTGCTTCAACCTTCCAAAGCCGCACAACCACGAGCGACGCCGCGCGCTCTGCAACCGAACGGCTCCGCCTTCGTCCATCTGCGGACTGCGTGGCGACTCGTGGGCGTCGAGCGACCGGCGGGCGGAGCGTCGCGCCGAGAGCGCACGCCGGCTGAGGCAGCGAATCGTGACCGACACCGCGGCGGTGCGGACGCGGGCGGTGGCGTGCGGCGCGTGCGGCGCAATGGACGCGATGGCGACGGCGGTTGGCGACCAGCGCGAGAGCCGCAAGGGCGAGACGTGGGGCTCAAAAGACCACGAGGAAGCGTCGCACCGCGTGCGGCTGCAGTGCAACAAGTGCGGCGCCGTGTGGCACGGCGGCGACGACGCGCTCCTCTTCTGCGACGAGGAGGAGGAGGCTGCGGCGGCGGCGGCGTCGGAGGGCTCTGGCACAGACAATGTATTGCAAGGGCCCGGCGCTGAGGCGGCGGCCGCGCGATCGCCGCCCTCCTCCTCAGCAGACCGCGCCTCGCAGCAGCCCTCGGCGGAGATCTCTCCCGCCGCCGCACTCGCTGCCGCCGCCGCACCCGCACCCGCTGCCGCCGCCGCGCCTACGCTGCGCGGAGATCTGCCGCCGCCCAGCCGCGCCGCCGGACTGCGTGGGCTGCGGAGCGCGCTGCTGCGCGCCGCCGGACGGCTCGGCGCGGAGCACGACGCTTTCCTCGGCTCGAGCCCAGAGGAGCTCTCGGCGAGGCTCGAGGAGGAGGCGTGGAGGCGGGCGGCGGCGGGTGCGGCGCAGCTGCCGGCCCACGTCGAGCGTCTCGCGCGCCTTGCGCGCGCCATCAGCAGCGGCACGCTCGACCGGCTGGCCACGGGCGAGCTCGGGCTGGCGCAGCTCCTCGACGCGGACGAGGAGGCGGTGCTGGCTGCCGGTTGAGTCTTGAGTGGTTGCTGTGAGAGAGATAGCACAGGCAGCAGGCAGGCAGCCTGCATTGTCTAGTTATTCTTTTCCAAACTTCGGACATGCCGGCGACGTGCGTTTTGGGGATAAGGGGGGATTCGTCTGAGCTGAAACGCTGGCATGCTGCAGTGCTCCATACCCCGCGTGGCCTCCACCAACAGCGAGGGGTCACCGATTGCGCCGGCGGCCGACGCGTTTCTCGCTCGGGGTATCTCCTCCCTCGAGGCGCCTCTGCTCAAGGGCTCTGCCTTGACAGAGGCGCCTGGCGTGTCGGTGCGTGGGATGGCTGTCAACCTGGTGACTGGTGGGCTCGGTGCGGGCATCCTGACGCTGCCGTGGGGGATGGCTGGCGCGTCAGTCCTCACGGCGCTGCTGCTTACCGTGCTGGTTGTCGTGCTCAACGGCTTTACCATCATGATCCTTGTGAGGGCGGCCGAGGCGCGTGGCCGCTCCAGAGATGCTTCCTGTCTAGCAGCGCCACGCACCGCGCACTTAAAGCAGCCGCCCTGCAGTCCGACACGAGTGGACTCACACCACGCCCACGGCAAAATCAGGAACATCAGAGGTTCGACCTGGGCGCCTTGCTAGCGCTACTGCCCGGCCGTTGGCTCGGGCCAGTGACGCAGGGGTTCTGCAACGGCCTGGTGTGGGTCGTTATCTGGATGGCCCTGGTGGGCTACATCATCGTGGTGCAGGACTGCATGACGCCGCTGATGCCGGCGGGCACAATGCTGTCCCAGCGCAGGCAACTGCTCTCAGTACGTATCCACAAGCTGCCGCTCTGCCCGCTTCCCGTCACCCGACCCTTGCCTCACTTGCGGCTCGCCCTTCCTCCGACGCGCCCCGCTTCTCCCCCCCCGAAGCACTTGGGCCGTGCTGGGCAGCGCAGTGGTGCTCCCGCTGAGCCTGACGGACCTGAAGTTCCTCTCGTCGACATCAACCTTCAGCGTCGGCGTCAATTTTTACCTCTTCGCCCTGCTCTGCGTCCGCCTCGCTTTGGACGGCGTCTCGCCCGAAGGCGTCTGTCTGATAGCGAGCGTCGCGCCGCTGCCGCCTGGTGCGCGGCCGACAGATTAGCAGCGCCGCTGCCGCATCTCCCGCGCCCGATCCATCCCTGCCAACTCGAGGCTTTGGCACACGTGCACTCCGTGAAACCCAGCTGGCTGCTCCGCCACAGGTGCCATCGCCTTCTTCGCCGTGATGATGTACTCTGTTATTATCCAAATGTGCATCCTGCCGATGTATCGCGAACTGCAGGAGCGCAATCCTCCTGTATCCGTCACTCCCTATGTCGCCTTGCCATCACCTGTCTCGTCTGCCTGCCCAGCTCACTCTCACCTCGCGTCTCTTCAACTCTAACATCCCTCTCACCCCCCCCCCCCAAACCCTCGCTGCGCAGGACCGTAGCCCAGACCGCTTCCAGACCGCGCTCGTTGGTAGCTTTGGGACGCTCATCGCGCTGTACGCTGCCTTCGCCACGGTGGCGTACCTACACTTCGGGCCGCACGTCTCGGACAACGTGCTCCGCGACTTGGGAGACAGCTTCTGGGGCAACTCGGCCCGCGCCGCTATGGCGCGCGATCCCTCTTCAGATGTCACTCTACCCACACTCTAAGTTTCCTTTGCTGCCACCCGCCTCCCCTCGCGCCCTCCGAGCTCCGCACGGCCGTTCACGACCCGCTCACGACCTCCGTTCATGACACGTCCACAGGCGGCGGTGGTCGTCTGCGTCTACCCCATCATGGTCAAGCCAATGCTCGCGCCGGTGGAGGCGATGGGTGCGGGGCGGGTGCGGCTGGCGGCGGGAGTCATCGTCGCGAGCGTCATGGTCTGCGCCTGCTACGTCTCCAACCTCGGGTTCGTCAACGCCATTTCCGGCACCGTCAGCGTGAGCGGGTTTGTCGCGCTGGCGCCGGGCGTGGTGGGGCTCTACCTGTACGGCACCGCGGCACAGCGCGCGCGCACGAGCTGGAGGGTGGCAATGCACGCGTTGATCTGGTTTGGCCTGCTGCTCTCGGGCGTCGGCATGTTTTACCAGGGCAACTACGCCACCGCGCTCGAGCAATACTGCTGGTGGAGCATAGGGCGCCGGGAGGTGGGCGAGTGAGGGTGGCTTGGGCGCGTGGTGTCCGCGCTCCAACCCAATTCACGGACAGGCAGCTACCGGCTCCCATTCCGTTGCTTGCCAACACTGAGAGTTGCGCCTGTCCGCTTTGAGCTGGTCTCGCGCGGCGCACGGGTGTCGGCTTTTGCGCCTCACGTCAAAGGGGGCGGGGGCTAGCGGGGGGGGGGGGGGGGGCGGGTAGGAGCAGTCGCTAGTAATTCAACATGAAAAACATCGAAAATTACAAACACGATGTTTCTCCGCCGCCGGGTGCGCGGCCGGGCCGAGCGTTTTTGATCTCTCGGTGAGTGTGGGGGCCTGTGTGGGCGCGCGCCCGCCCCCGCCGCCTCTCAGGGGGTCGGGCCCCCTAGACTGAAAACAAACACAAAATGTAGAAACCGTCAAAAACAGCCTGCGAGAGCGGCGCTGCGCGCCGCCTAGAGGACGACGACAGCGAGGATGTCATGTTGCGCGATGGCGTCATCCATTTCGTCAAGCCACCTACCCCACCTTCATCGTGACCGTCGCCACCCTCGCCGCCGTCTCGCCTACGTCGCCGCCGTCGCCATCATGGGCCTCGCTGCCGAGACGGTGCTGTTGCATCTGACTCAACTCTCCCAGCCCACCCCCCTGGCTCCTATGCCGACGTGTCCCGCGTGCTCCCCCGTCCGCCGATGTCTCTGCTGCCGCCCGGCGGAGCTCTGCAGCGCGGGCCCTCCTCGCCGCCTTCGCTGCCGCTGCATCGCTGTCGGCTCGTCATGTCTGTCTACGGTCATTGGGGGCTGCCATCGCTGTTCTCTCTCTCTCCCGGGGTCAGCTCCAACCTGCCGTGTCGGGACGTCGCCCCCTCGGCTCCCCCCCCCACCCCCCCCCGCCCCCCCCCCCCTTCTCCCCCGCGGCACTGACTCCGCTGAACTGCATGCTGCGATTCTCGCCTTGTCCCAGGAGCCAGGTGCGTGTGTCTAATCGTAGTGGGGGCCCTGGCCCCCCTCTGTTTTCTGTTTTCTGTTTTTCAAAACGCCCGCCCGCCACCCCGAGGCGGCTCGGCCCCCGCCCACTCTATGTGCACTCACCGAGAGATCAAAAACGCTCGGCCCCGCCCCCACCGCGAGCGCGCGCGTGTGCGCGCGGCACCCACAGGGAGACGGTCCGCCCGTGCGCCGTGGCGCGTTTTTGACCCAGCCGCGTCACGCCGCGCTCTGCTGATGGAAAAGACAGAACGTAAAAATAAAAAACGAACGCGACTTGGCGCCGACGCGAGACACCACACGTCGTAATGAACCATGGCGTGCGTGGGGAATTGATGTGTTCGTACGATCCCGAATAATATATATTCAAAAGCGCTTGTGCCTGCCCTAACCGTCGCACGAATCTCGCGCCTCGCCGACCCCTCGCCTCAGTGGTCGCGCTCGATGTGCCCGTCGGGCCCGTCGAGCCTGAACCCAAAGTTGGCCTCGATGTCACCTGCGGCAGCGCGCGCAGAGGTGAGAGGCAAGTGAAAAGGGAGGGAAGTGGGCGCGGGCGGCGGCGCGCACTCGGCCGCCACAACGGCAGTGTCGAGTTCGCGATCCAGAACACTCGCGTCAGTTGCGTCTTTTTCCGCCTACACGAGCGCGGGCAAAGAGAGCGCGGTGAGGCGGCGCCCACACTCCGCCTGCGATGAGCGCGCCGGGGGGCGAGGGCGCTTGGCGTTGAAGGCTTCCATCGCGCCGAGGAACTTTGGAGACACAAACGCGTTCGCGAGAGTGGCCGACTCCTCGGCGTTGACCCGCCTCAGCCGCTCGTGCTCGGCTTCGTCAAAACAGCGGCCGCCTGCGAGCCAATCGGGCGGTTGCGCTCCGGCCGGCGGCGGCGAGGGCCTCGCGCGGGGGTGGCGGCGGCGAGGGCGGCGAAGGCGAGGGAGGAGGCGGTGGCGAGGGTGGCGAGGGCGGCGAGGGCGGCGGTGGCGAGGGTGGCGAGGGCCAGCTCGCGCCTCCGGCCGCGATCCTCTCCTCAACGAAGGAGGAGGCGCGCGCCACAAGCTCATGCGGCTCGACCACCTGTGGTGCGGCGCGGGCACGAGGGGCAGGCTTGGGTGCCGAGAGCGAGCGCTCCGAAGAAGGACGGAGGTTGCGCAAGTCGGGAGGCAGCGGCAAAAGGCACGAGGGGTGCGCGTGGTGGCACTGGTGGCGCGGGTGGCGCGGGTGGCGCGGGTGGCGCGGGTGGCGCGGGTGGCGCGGGTGGCGCGGGTGGCGGAAAGCTCCGGCGGGGGCGCGCCGCATGCAAAGGGGTGTAAGGAGAGAGAGGGTCTGCGCCGAGGTGCTACGAGGCGGTGGGCTGCGGCGCCACGCGCACGAGCTCCTCCCCCCTCCAAGAGATGGCGAGGAGAGGTCTCGGAACTGTCTAGGAGAGGTCTCGGAACTGTCTGAACTGTCTAGGAGAGGTCTAGGCGAAGTCGCCTCGCGCACGAGCCCCGCGTCGCGCGCCTCGGCGGCGCTCGGTACCCAGTTCTCCTCTCCTAGACATTTCCGAGACAGACAGATCTAAGACATGTCCTGACCAAGGCGCCCGGTACCCGGTGGACCCCCTCACCGAGCATGCGGTGCGCCGCCGCCTCGCCCATGCGCTCGGGGAAGGTGACGGACGAGCAGCCCTCGGGAGGCACTCCTGCGGCGGAGGCAGCACGCTGGTCTGGGGAGACGTCTGGAAACGTCTAGGAATCCTAGGCACTGCTGCGGCGGAGGCAGGACGCTCAGCGGCAAGAAGAGAGGCGTCGCGGGTGGAGGACTGCGAGCTGCTCTGGGGTCGAGACGCGCACTGGAGCGTCGCACGTGCGTGGGCTGTGCGTGGGCGGGCGCGCGCTGCGCGCCGAGCTTGGCGAAGGGGAGCGAGAAGGTGGCGGCCGGCGAGGCGAAGCACGCGTCCATCAGGCAGGTGGAGGTGACGGCTGCGCCGATGGCGGGGCCGTTGACCGCCGCGACGATTGGCTTTGGAAAGTCGAGGAAGCAGGCAAACAGCCTTTGGTTGCGGTCGCGAATCTGCCGGATCAGAGAAGAGGGCGCCATCGGTTTGATCATCGCAGAGAGGTCCGCACCGGCGGAGTAGTACTTGCCGCTTCCCGTGATGACGACGCCCTTGACTGCCGGGTCGGTGGTCGCGTCGGCGAGCCCGTAGAAGAGCTGCGAAGGACGGCGGTAGGGGCTGGGGCGTTTTGGTGTGTGGTCGAAACTACTGCAGCTTCCTCTCGCGAGCCTTGTTCAGCAATGGGAGAGTCCACGCGTTCAGCTTTTCGGGCTGGTTGAATGTCAGCGTGAGGACGCCAGTCGGGCTGAGGTCGTTTTGCAGCAGCGGCGCTGAGCTCGAGCTAAGCAAGCGTCGAACAGGTTTCCGGGTCAGGGGACTCACGCCACGCTTCATCACGCGCTGCCCGGGGGCAGGCAAGGTTGCAAAACGAAAAAAATAGTGCCGCACCCAACGACCGCGTGAGATAGGGTGCTGACCTTTCTCTCCGAGGCTCGCCGTGGCCCACACGGCGGCCTCTGCTCGCGTTTTCGAGCCAGGACCTTCGTCCGGGCCCATGGCCGGCACGCCATCGTCGATTCCGCGCGCTCGGCCTCCACCGGCTTGCTGTGCGGACGGCTTCTTGTGGCTCTCGTCGAGAGCGTTTTGGCGGCCCGCCGGGGGAGAGAATGTGTGTCGTCTGATGTGTCACTGTGTACGTCACATCGGTCTTGATAACAAGCACGGTCGATCCGTACAGGAAGAGCCGTGCGGCAAGAAGAGCTTGATGGGGAGCGAGGAACCGTCAAAGGTGGGTCTTGGCAGCCGCACGCTTCTAAGTCCCAGCGGCCTTTACCGGTAGCGCCGGGCGAGGCGGGACTTGTTGTAAGTCCCAGAGGGGGGGGAAGCGCTGCGGGCTGCTGGCGCACCGCGGCGGCCCTCATCCGAGCCGTGGTGCCCATGGCCATCCTCCTGCCGGCTCACCCAACGTGTGGGGCGCACGACATAGGTTTCGCCCGCAGCAGCAGCCCAGCAGCCCGCAGCGAGGGGACCGGCCGACTCTTGGAGGGCCGACGTGGCGCGCGGAACGTTACAACGGATCGGCCGGGGATTTCGCAAAAAAGCGGAAGCCCGAAACGTCGAATCTGCTGTCCAGCGGGACCTTAATCGGCCGTCCAGCGGGCGTCCGGCCGTCCCTTGCATTCATCTCCTTTCTTCAGTTGAACCGTTACAACGGATCCGATCTCGGGGACACTTTGCAGACCACTATGGCCGGAAAAAGAAAAGAAGCCTGGCGGGAGTAGGGAGATCGAGGGGGGGGGGGGGCTGACGACTTGAAATCGAGATAGGATGGGTCGGAGGGGGAGGGGGCAGGGGGGGAGGAGAATGATGGCTGGGTCGCTCTACTCGTTTTTAGAGAGCATCTCGTTCTTCGTTTGTTCAAGCATTTTCTTAAAGGCAAGCATACTCACGCCGCGACACACACACTACTCAGTGCGTCGCTCTCTAAGTGCCGCGGTCTGCAGGCCGCGGTTCTACTTCTGCTTCTTGCGGCCCCAACGCGCCTTGTGGAGAAGGTTTGCCATCTCGTGGTGTCGAGCTCTTCTTGCCGGACGGCTCTTCCTGTTTTGCGGGGTGCGCTGAGCTTCGTGTCAAGCTCCGAGGGCAACGGAAACGAGTGCATCGCTTCGATAGACCGACTGTGCTTGTTACCAAGACCGATCTCACGTACACAGTTACACTCAAGACGTTCTGTACTCTCCCATCCGACAACCGGCAAGACGCTGTCGATAGCCAGCCGCTCTTGCGGCAGCCGGCAGCGGAGACTGAGCGCGTCGGGCGAGTGGAAATCGAGATGGCGTGCCGGTCATGGGCCCGGACGAAGGCGCCGCCGGCTCGGATTGAGTCCAGTGGCATCAGGGGCGCCTCCAGCACTCAACACAGTAGCACGCTGTTTCTGTCTTGGCCGCCACTGATCCGAGCCTCAAAGCAGAGGCCTGGGGACGGTCCGATCGACGGGTCGGCTTTGAAGGTGGCAGCTTGACCCTACGAGCTTGAGCGGCGTCCCCAGCCATTGATGTGCCCTCCACTCGTGAAAGAGCGTCTGACCCATCGCCTGCTCGCTGTACGGGAAGACGACGCATCCGCGCGCCAGGCAGCGCCCCATTTGGCTACCGATGAGCCACGGGTTGGGTGGTGCTGTCAGCTTGTGGCTGTCTGTCACTGCGCAGCCCGGCGGCCGTGGTGGCATGTCCAGACGCTCTCGCTTGTACTGAAATGGGCACGCGGCGCCAGAGCACCGGACTGGCGAGACGACCAGGGAAGTGCCCTCAAAGCACTGCGGGTACTCGGGTAGCTTCTCGTCGATTGCAGGGTCGAAGACGCGGAACCAGAGCCGCTCGAACGCCGCCGGGAGGAAGAATCCGTTGGCACCCACACGGTTGTCGATGGCCCCGATGCGCGGCGGTGCGAGAGGGCCCAGGTCGACCGCATACGGCCCGAAGTTTGCCCATTTTGCGTTCCGGACGCGGTCCTTCTTCTCCTTGGGCGTGGCATCCCCCTTTGCTTTGGGCATCATCTCCTTCAGCGGCGACGGCATTGCGGTGAGCTCGGCATTCAGCCTCCACCAGTACTGCGAGCGCAGCCGAACGGCGGCGCGAGGCACCGCGAATTGGAACTTGCGCGGCCAAGAGATGTGGCGCGGAAAGCGCGGCAGCTGCACGCTTGACGAGGCTTCACGCGAGGCCCAGTGATGGCGAGTCGCTGTTTTTGCTTGCGTTTGCTCTCTGGAATATTCAACGTCACGAGCACGCCAAAGTCGTTGGGCTTCTCCGCCCTGCCGACCTGCTTCTCATTTGACGTGAGTATGCGGCAGACTCCGCAGCTCAGCGAGTGACGACAGGAACGAGTCGGTCGTCACCTGATCCGGTGAGTGCCACAGCAGGTGCGGGCGACGACGTGCTGGCCATCGCGGTGCGGCTTAGAAGGCTGAAGCGAGCGGAACGCCAAATTTGAGCGTTTGAGGGGTTGTTCATGGCGCGCAAGGGGTACTAACTTTTCCGAGCGTCGAAACCTCGAAGTTACTTCGAAAAGTAAGTTGTTACTTCGAGAGAGCTCGCTTAGTTTTACATGGTGTGTGGCTCCCAGCGCAGGGGTTTGCCCGTTTACCACGGAGCACGGTGGGGGCCCGGGGCAGGCACCCTGACGCTGACCGTGGACTCAGCCCGCCGGCGCGGAGCGCGCCCCGAAGAAAATTTTGAGGGTTGAGGACCCCTCGACACTCCCGAGCACCACAGACTTTACACATACATATTGTTGTGATACGCGGTCCGGTGTGCGGTGACGGCAGTGGACTCACAAACTCGATAAGGGACCGCAACACGGTGCATCTGTGTGTGTTGCCCCGCCGCCGTAAGAGGCCCTTCAGGAGAGCGCACATAACCCCCTCTCTCCCGGACGCGCAGCTGAGAGGTTGGGAAGGGCCTGTACGAGAGGACAGACCAATCGAGCGCGGCGGCGACGGCGGCCGTCGCCGGACGGCGACGGCGGCGGCGGCGGCCGCGGCGGCGGCGGCGGCGGCGGCCGCGGCGACGGCCAGCCTCAAGCCCGGGCCAAGTTGGAGGCTGGTCCCCGCGCCCCCTCCTGCGGGCCGCGGCGGTTGCCAAACACAAACTCGCGGTCCTCGGCGACGGCGGCGACGGCATCGGCCACGTTGCGCTGCAAGTTCATGTTGACGCGAGTGTGGTCCGCCTTCAATGATGGGATTGGACTCCACTCAATGAAAAGAACTCGACTCGAGTTCAGCTGAGGACGCGCGTGGCGGTCCGCCTTCATCTCCTCGAGCAGCTCGGCGGCGGCGGCGGCGTTTGGGCGCGGCTTGCGGCGGAGGTGGTGGTTGATGAGGGCGTGGTACATGCCCTGACGAGGAATGAGCTCGGCTGCACCTCGGCTGCACCTCGGCTATCTCTCGGCTGTCTCTCGGCTGTACCTCAGCTGCACCTCGGCTGCACCTCAGCTGCACCTCGGCTGCACCTCGGCCGCACCTCGGCTGCACCTCGGCCGCATCTCGGCTGTCTCTCGGCTGTCTCTCGCCTGCGGCGGGGCCAGCTCGGCGTCCTTGCACTCGCGGTAGACGACAAACGCGCCCTGCGGCTCGCCGCTCATCATGTGCAGCGCCACGCGGTGCTCGTACGTGGTGGCATTGTGTCCCACCCCCTCCGCCTCCATCCGGTTGAGCAGCCGCCGCGCCTAATCTCGGGCAACCTCGGGTAATCTCGGGTAATCTCGGGTAATCTCGGGTAATCTCCATCCGGTTGAGCAGCCGCCGCGCCTACACGACGGCTCCGAGAAGGCTCCGAGAAGGCTCCGAGAAGGCTCCGGTCGAGCCGACGCCGCGCCGACGAGAACTCGCGCGCGCGCACGCACGTGCTGAGCAGCGCATTGTACGTCTCGATGTCGGGCGAGAGGCCGAGCTTTGGCAGCTCGGCCTACAGGGACGCGTCGGGGACGTGTCAGGGACGCGTCGGGGATGTGTCA